CACCGTGGTTGCTCTGCTTGCCCCATCTTCGCCACCTCTATGTGCTCTATAATCTGATAGCGAATATTCCTAGAGAAGTGTATATACATGGAATTGAGAAAATGCGCAAGTACTTTAGAATAAAGACCATGATGAGAGTTGAAAGCGAAGGTGCAGACTTGAATTACCACCTTTTGCTTTCTCCTACAAGAAAAAGTTTGCCCTCTTGTAAAGTGAAACTCCGCACAAGGCATCAACACAGCTGCGATTGTGATCAGGATTTATTGCCATATCACCCAGTCACAGAATCCAAAAGCTTGCCTAAAGAGGTACCTCCTGCAAGTATTTCTAAATGTTTGTCAAATGATCTATTCAATCCAGCTGTGCCATCCTCTGAGAGCCCACTCGGCCCAGGATACTCAGACCAGCACCAACACACAGTGTCAGGATTAATGGCATCACAGCTCAATCAACTGAACCTCATAAAAGAGCAAAGAGAAAAGATCGTGCTGAGGCAAGAGAGAAGAAAGCTTAACATTGACTATCTTCAACAAAAGAAGAACCAGCATCAACCTGAAAAGGTTTCATTTTCAAGGAGGAAGTTAGATTTTAGTCTTGATTTAGAGAACCTTGGGAAAAGACGTAGGTGTATGACAACTAGCGAGTATGGAACATGCTCGTCTTTTACAGAAAGTGCTGATATGGCAATGCACTCGCCTTTACTCAGAAAAGATTCATTCTTGAGTTATCAGTCAATGTCAGATGATGCTGTAAACAACAATAAAGCTTTAAGAATAAGAAACCTCTCGAGTGATGACAGCAGTTCATGCTTGAGTGATATCTCTGATGATGATTATGATGTTGATTCAGAGGTGGAGTCACTCCCTGACAGGTGTCGACACATAACTCTTGGAGACATCTGTGTCGTCATTCCTGAGGAAAACCTGTCAGGCTATCTTCAGTGTGAATTCACTCTTGTTGTTTTGGAGGATGTGTCACTCCACCCTAAGCTTGGTCATCTTCAAGTTGTTGCAAGTGAAGTAATCGAGATGGAACCACATGGAGCAAGATTTTATGAAGATGATCCGGCTATCATAAGCCTACCTTATGACGTCAAAGTAGGAAAGAACGATCATGTGGTATGTCTTTGCAGTGACACAGGTGTTGGACAAAGGGTAAAATGGGAAAGAATGAGCCCTAAGGACTACAATGTGTTTGCTTCGCATGTGGAAATCAAAGCCTACCACTTCAGTCTCTTTGCCGTTGTTGTTTCAAAAGGCTACCCTGAGGCTCGCAAGACTATCAGGGCTGGAGTTGGTGGTTGTCTTTATGTTTCTGAAGTTCCTGGGGTGGAAGTTCTTTTTCCAGAAACATCATTACTTTATGACATTGAAGCCTCCATCAAGGTTCTTTATGCAGATGAGCCTTATAATGTGGATCATTCAGATCTAGACGCACTTGCTCTTGCTGCACCTGTTGTCAAGTTGGGTCCTCATGGCTGTGTCTTCAATCCTGACACACATGATTTTGTGACTGTTCGTTTGCCATTACCAGATGGCAAGGAAATTCAAGAGAGGTATGGAGACAGACAGCTTACTTTCTGGTGTAGCTCCACTGTGGAAGGTGAAGAACTTACCTGGGAGCAATTCCAGCCTAACTTTATGCACATTGATAATGACAATGATAATCTTTGCTCAGTGTACTTCTCTGTGGAGCATTTCTCATACTTCAGAGTTTTATGGGACATCATTGATTCAGTCCTGTGGGAAGCAAAGCTTGGTGTCTCCAGCCTTATACCCTTGTTTCACTTTAATGTGTCCTTTCAAGCATTGATGTCGGAAATAAGCAGCATTGGAGGAAGGTTTGGAATCTGTGTAGTGTGCTACAGATTTGGCAAGCCTCTAGAGGGAATCGGGAACTTTCCTCTTCTTGTGGGCAAGTGCATCGCACCAAAGATGTTACGCACCGGAAAGTTAAAAATTAGGTAACTAAGTGGAATACTTGAATTTGTTACTATACAAGAAAACCCCTGTATTACTGAAAAGACTTTCATTAGGCACACAATAATCTTTTTTAATTGTTGGTACAGCATGGATTAACTTTGCAATAAGGTGTACATAGACATGTACATGTAGTCTACTCTTTTCTTTGTCTAAGAATGTGTTAAAAGTTAGTTACTACCAGATTCAAATAAATAACAATACATAGTTTAACAGCAATACTTAAAAACAGCATTAGCAATGTCAAGAAACAGTAGAAGTCAATAAGTACTTCGTTGTTAGTGAAGGGTGTGGCATTTATTCAGGGTAGGTGCTTATTTAAGGTTAGCATTCTCTGGAGTCAAATATGGTCCAAATCCTGGCATTCATTTCGTGAGCCAATTTTTTGCATACAAAACAAAAGCTAGTTTACAAAGGCGTGCATCTGCTCTTGTAGTATTGAATAAGCATGGAAAGGGTTATTTTCAACCTTTAATTTGTTTTCCTTCTTCAGCTGATACATGTTTACTTCATTGAACTGAAGGGTCAAGATAATTATGTACATATAGTTTGACATTAATTTGAGAACTTACTGTACACTGTTTATTTCCTTCAGACTTGAATCACATCATTTTAAAGCAGACCCCTCAGTAGGGGTAAAGGAACTTGTGGCAGTAGAGAACTTCACGGGTCGACCATTTGTGATGCAGTTTGGATGTAAATTTACTGGCGAGCCTCCTGATCATGGTAACTTTGGAAGTGTCATTGTAGAGCAGCCATCACAGTATGGTGGAAACAAACCTGTTTTTTCCTTTCTTTTAGATAAGGTATGTCTAAGTAACAACAATTATCATTCAATAAATCAGCTTAGGGCCACAAGCAAACCAGTGGTGGCCTCAGGAAATGTTGGCTGTTTTCTCAGAGTACAGAATTGCCCGATGGAAAAAGTAACCATGATAGTGATTAAGGTAGTTTCCCGTATGGACAAATGCATTGGCTTGGCAGTGATGATCACTGATATTTTCCTTTTGATCTGCTTTGGAACATATCTGTTTCACCAAGATGCATTTTGTTTTTTGCTTTTGTACTTGCATAAACATAAACACCTGGAGTGTTTCTTGTTTTATATACATGTATTTGAAGTTTCTCACGTGATGTTTGACTCTCATTTGTACAAGAAAATTTTCTGGAATTTATACAGGAGGGTTTAGTCATGACCAAGTTTCACTATCGCTGTCACCAAATTATTGAGTCTTGCCACTAGAACGCTCTGTTCATTGTTATCAGGGCTAGCATAGTATTTGGTTTTTTTGTTTGCCCATTGCTTTCTCTGTCTAAGACTTATACTTCTTCGCTATAAGTTATGGGTGCATGTTAGTGAGTCTCAGTCCTATTTACACACATTTTATTTTAGCCTCATGAAACTGAAGCAACAGACTGCTCCTTGGACTGGGAAGTACAGTTAACTAAAGAACTTACAGGTAAGTTAGAGAAACTGGCATGACAAACGCAAATGTAACTAGTGAATACCCAAGGCTTTGTTTGTGTGCTTTACTGTAGGGAAAAATTCATCAGAGGCACTGCCACTAGATAATAGACCTTTCAATGGTTTTTGTAACTTTAGACGTGGACAAGTTAGGGAAAATCTGTCAACTGCACTGGAAAGAGCGCCAGCCCTTTAATTACTAAAATTGCCAAGTTTGAAGGTGACTTGACTTAAAGAAAACTATCAAAGATTTTGTTCTGCAAAGTTTCGAAATTTTAGACATTTGTATGGTGGGGGCACAAACTTGCCCCCTACTAACCAAATATCAGTAAATTTTCGCAACTTTGCAAAGCTGTATCTTCGCTCATTTAAGACGTATCCCTTTTGAACTTGGCAATTCGACTAATTTTAAGCTGCTCTTTCCAGTGGTGTCGACAGATTCTCCCTAACTGGTACATATCAAAAGTTGAAAAAAATGTGGATCGTCTATTATTTAAGAGTTAAGTCTTTCTTCCCTCTAGGGCCTCCTTTGCTTTAAAATTCAGTTCTTTAGGTCAAAATGCAGACTTGTTTTAACTGACAGACTGATTGTCTTAATTCTAGCGTTGTTGAGTATTAAGGCTGAGAAAGACATGGGGGATGAGGTCTGGCACGAAGTTGCAGAGAGTTTGGGTTACACTCCAAAAGAAATAAGCAACTTAAGTGGTTGTGACAATCCTATGGCAGCAGTTATTGCTAACTACAAACGTCGTGGAGGGATGCCACATCAGTTCATCTCAGCTCTTTACAAAACTGGCTCCCCTGGCAACCTGACTAAACAACACATGTCAAATAGAGCTGAGATGGCCAGAGTGATGGATGAAGAGAGATCTGGTGAGATGACGACAGAGGAATAAAGTTAATAAATAAATAAATAAATAAATAAAGGGTGCATGGAACAAGGCTCTAAGTGACTTTTGATATACTGTTAAATCCTTGTTCTGTTTCTTAAGAAATTTCAGGCAGTGTGTGATTCCAGAAAACATCCATACCCCCACCACGGACCCCCCACCCCCTAGGAATTTCCTATTTTCCTTTTCATGGCCTAAAATTTGCCGTATTTAGAGATAATCAATCGTGTTCCACTTTGACTTATTTTTAATCTTGCAATATGTATTTCATATGCAGGTAGAGCCACAGGTAGCCCAAGCTCACTATGAGAGCCCTGAACAACATCATCCTACTTAGCTAATTAATTATTCATACAGCAAGAAAATTATAAGACGTTGTATGGAGAAATGTTCTTTGCTCATTAAATTACCAAAATGTACATTGAATATCGCTTTGAAGCTTACCTTTAGCGTCTTCTTGTTTTCCTTTGTATTCTGACTGCATTTCAGACCTCCTAGGCACTGTTTAACCCATTCGCTTCTAGAGATTTTGCCGAAAAACGCGTTTTGAAGCTAGTCGAGTGGTTTTCTGGTCACTGTCATGCTATAAAGAGCTAAAACTTACCACAAACTGGTTTACAGGTCGAACACTTCGCGGCCTTGTGATCCAGGTGCAAAATATCAGCTTGCGAAGTTTGGGCATGCGCAGAAAGCAAAATTTGAAACCGTTTCACTCTTTTATTTGATTTGAACTAGACTAGCCGGCAAAACTGTCGGATCAAAACATTAACAACGCGACATGTTTTGATATTACATGTCACTATCACACGCGATGCTTGACTTCCGCGACCCCGGAGTGCAATGTGAGAAGTGAAAAATCAGTTACTGTGCCCAGTAGGCTAAATGCTCCAATTGTCCTTTGACGGTTGAACAATTTGACCCTGCCAGCCCGCGTCGGTTTGAATTGTCGACGTGACGGTTGGAGTCCGTTGCGGGTCTGCTCTCGACACGCCTCACCTCAGCCGTGTATTGCCCACTTCGTTGGCGATTTAGGACCTTCGAAATGGGAATTTTGGCGATGTGAATGATGGAAAATGTGCGTTATTTATCAGGACATCTGTTTCTGGCGGAATTGTCTCCATGTCGCAAATGTCACGGAATTTATCGCCGCCGAGAGCGGAGCCGGTCAAGAGAGGTTTGCCAACCTTCTCTTCTCTTCTCTCTACTGTCATCTGGGTGAAAAACTGTCGCTCCAAAAAAGGCCTTAAACAGTGCCTAGGAGGTCTGAAATGCAGTCAGAATACAAAGGAAAACAAGAAGACGCTAAAGGTAAGCTTCAAAGCGATATTCAATGTACATTTTGGTAATTTAATGAGCAAAGAACATTTCTCCATACAACGTCTTATAATTTTCTTCCTGTATGAATAATTAATTAGCTAAGTAGGATGATGTTGTTCAGGGCTCTCATAGTGAGCTTGGGCTACCTGTGGTAGAGCATGCTTCATAGACTATGAGTGGTCTCTTTTTTTTCTTAGTCCGTCCAGCGAAACGCACGAGACACGAAAACAGAGATTAATAAGTTTATGTCATCTTAAAAAAACCCATAACTTTAAATTTGAACTATTCGTTGAAATAAAACTTCTCGTGGGCACCCCCCTGACTCCTTGGAAATTTCTATCCTTTAGCCCCCCTAACCTCTAGGAATTTCCATTGACCATCCTTGGGGGAGGTATGGATATTTTCTGGAATCACACAATTTAGAAGGATAATCTAGCAGTTTATCAATATTTGTTCACAAACCATAAAGTAATGGTGACTTTCACTTTATTGGTAAAATGTGTTGTCCATAATATTAGACACACTACCCAACACATACAGTTGTATTTTGAGCATGAAGTATTATTATCAAAATTAATCATGAGTTACACTATACTGTTGAATTGTGTCAGTTTGTTCTCAGTTCTTTTCCTTTTCTGTTGAATTACATATTAAGGGTTTTTAAGTTCTTTTATAGTGTGAAGGCATTTGGAAAGCATAAAATAATAACAATTATATTAAACAATCTGAAGTAAATTTCATCATTAATAATAGAAATGGAACCAAAGATATGTCCCTGTGTAAAAAAGAATGCAAGAAAACGAAGACTTCAAGAATCTATAAACTGGGAAGAGAAGTTCCAAGATCTTGCACAGAAACTTGTTGGAAATAGCAAATGGCGACAACTTGGCCGTGTGTTGGGTGTTGGTGAGAGCAAGATTAAGGAAATTGAGAATGACTGCAGCAAGGATGGTGTGCAGGAGATGGCATACCAAGTGTTGGTAGCATGGCGTGATCTTTATCCAGATAGATGCAATCTGATTAATATTTCATCTGCACTGTGCAAAATTGGACTCAATTCTGTAGCAAGACAATGCTGTCTTGCAGTTGAGATGGGTTGATGTACAATGTACAAGTCAGTCATGTAAAGTAATCAAGGCAGAGGTATTTTAATGTCAGCACTGCTGTTTGCTTCATACACATGTACACTGTTACATGTAGTTGATTGACTTAGATCCATGAACAGGGCACACTGTACATGTAACCAATTTCAGCCACAATTTTGCTGTAGTAGTTTTATAAATTTTCAAAATCACAATGCAGCAATGGGGAACTATTAATAATGATGTTCAGTATTTAGTCATTGCTATTTTGTGAAATTTTTATTGGCTTGCAGACATCCCTTTCAGAGTACAATGACAAAATAATATAATATTTTTGGATACACATTTCATACATTTCAAACCCTCATTGGTATTATTTTGAAACATTTCCTTATGTTATTTTATTTTATCAAAGCAGCTGGCTGCTTATTAGATTTTATTTGCCAAACTCTATGTATTGAAAATAATTTTCAGTCAGTGTAACCATCCTGAGGGCTGGCCTCAGCAAAAAATTTTGTAAATCAGAATTTTTGCACCAGGAAGGGTTTACATTAGGTACTGTATGTCATTGCATGTTGTTATTTTGCATTAATTTTGATGTCTCAGTTATGTTTTTGGTAAGAGTTATCTGATGTCAAGTATAAAAGATCTTTAAGTTTATATATTACAGGGCTGTCACTAACATTTCAAGTTGCCGGGTAAATACAACAAGTAGGTGGGGTATCAAACAGCTAGGGATTCCTTTTGGTTCTATTTTTCTTCTATTTTCCTATGAAAGGAGACGGGGAAATCCCCAGTCCCCGGCTCTTAATGACAGCCCTGTCTTGTGAAGACAGTTTGTAGCAAGGTGGTTGCATGTAAGGTTTTTATTTTGTGTAGTTGATGTGTAAACCAAGTGATACTAAGTAATGTAAAATAATACTGACACTGCTGTGCATCTCTTTGTATTTGATTTTATAAAAATAATCATATCAATAATATGTCAAACAATGAGATGCAAATAATTAGGGACACAAACAGCTTATAACTCATACCTGAGCAAATAAGTTATAAGAATAACTTTTTTATTAAAGAGAAAACATGCATTTTTCATCTCCAAATAGCTTTGTACTTTTCTGAAGAGGAAACAGTTTATACATATTGTAAATACTAATAAAAACAAGAATGACATTCTTATTTTTTTGCCTCGGAGTCTCTTATCACTTGCTTTTGTTCATTTCATCAATTTCCTCTGCAAACACAGTTTGAAGTGGCCCCAAAAGTTGAGGAATCCTCGACAAATTACTTGAGTTAATCTGCAACATTGCAATAACAAGTTATTTTTGTGTCAGTATTTTCTTGTCTGTTGCACAACATTAATATTGGAAACAGAAGGGTCAGAACTCTCACATAATTTATGAAAAAAGTAATAAGAAAGGTAAACATAGAATGTAGATGCAAATAATGTAATTTAAGACCAAGACAATCAAAATATGCTAGTGGCAGATCCAGAAAGGTGTGGCCTGGACACTTAATAGCTGTATTCCAGATACTGTTTATTTTTCTGAGACGGAATTTTATAAAAAATAGTGCAAAATTTCAAAGGACAAGGGGTGGCCGTGGCCCACTCGGCCCACCCCTAAATTGGCCCATGTATGCCAACAGCAAAATTTCAGGTGAGACCTGAACATGTGGCCATACATACATGTATGTAGAAGTATTATGGGCAATTTATTTACCTTCATGTGGTCAAATGCGATCCCAGTGTACTTTGTAAACTGCTCACTGAAGATGGGAATCTTGGGATAGCGCTGGCTGAAGTGATTTAACATAATAAACTTTGCTTCCATCTTCATTCCACTTTCAATTGCCTCAGTTGTTGTACTGAAATGAAAAGGGAATGCTCATGATAAGCTACATCTTTTTCCCTGGGGATAAAACTTCATCTGTAATGCTGTCAACTTTTTAAAACAGTACAATCTAACATGAGCTGCCACCGACACAATGTCAAACCTGGGGATTGGTAATGGGATGGGGGGGATGTTCCACTGGGATCCTGGAACCCTTAGCCTATACCAGACCTAATTCCGCTGAATTTTGCCAACTTATACTAGCCTCAACTCCTAAAATTCCTCCCTGTCCTAGAGTTGCTATTTTCCATCTAATCTGTTGATGCATTTTCTTTGCTATCAAACTAAGTTGTAGGCAAATTTGAAATTGAGATTCCATTTTCGCAAGTGTCAATTCCCAGTTTGTCTAGTCTAAACTGACACCCTTAACCAATTGATCAGTTTCCTGGACAATTGTAGCCTATTCTTGACCCAAACTTTATGATTTCTATACCTTATCCCAGACTAAACTTCTTGAAAACCGTACCCTTCAGAGTGGCACATACCAACATATGGCAGCACCATCCCCCCAAGGGTCACTTGCTCTGTATGAGAGTTGGGCCATGATGAGAATGTACAACACCTCACAGTTTTAGAGATACCATATGCACCATGCCTTTTTTGTTGTCTCTCAAGGGCCAACATAAATATTTACGGTAAACAGTGTAAGTCCACAAATATTGCTTTGTCCCCGGAAACACTTAACAAATTGCATGTAGAATCACTCTTCATCACAAGTTAGCTTGGAAAACAAGCAATTATAAAGACAGTAGATATAAGATAATTTTTATTCTTTTAACAAAACCTGTGCTTTTTGGCCAGAGCTTCAGCTTTGAGTTCATCTTCCAAAGTAGCTTCATGAATGAGAAGATCTGCCCCATTACCTGTTTTTGAAACAATAATTTATTATTATTAAATGCACCAGCATAAACAGAACTAAACTTTGTTTTATGAACACGACAGAACAGAACTAACATGCCATGAGGAAAACACATTTCAAGATCATAAAGCAGGTCCCCATCTCCTCCTCTATACCTTGGTCTTCTCTCGGGAGTGTGTGGCTAGAGCAAATAGTGGAATTTAAGCTATACACACCCTAGTCTACAAAGGATCCCTCTACAGTGGATAGGCCTTTCTACTTAGATTACTAGTGGAGAAGAGTTGCTTAATGGTCCAATTAATGATCGCAAGTGCATCAGGCTGAGACCTGCAGCAAAGAAACCAAGTTCATTCTCCTGAATTCAAGTCCAAAATACAAATTGAGAAGCTGAACACCATTTTTACATCTCTTACTGGGACCACCATTTTATGTATTTATTCAAGCCACTGGAAGGTTAACCCATTTGCAGGGCAAAGACAGTCTGGACCTGGGGTGCAACCCGGCAACCCCCCAATCTGCAGGCAGGTGCTCTACCAACTGAGCTAATTTGGCTGTGGTAGACTAACTTGAAATAACTGAGCTGAAAGACCATGCATTTCCAATAAGTATGGTTTCAGACTGAAGTGCTACTTCAGAATCTGCACCTATTGCAGACCAACAAAGAACTGGTCTTGTTACATGACTGACTATTGTACACCATAAAATTCCAAAAATAAGGCACTCCAAATATAAGCCCCCCAAACTCTTAACGCAAAAAACCCTCAGTTAAATCGCCCCTCCAAATATAAGCCTCCTGGGGGCTTGTTCAAAGTAAAACACAGCAAAAATGGTAAACATCCGTCCAACTATAAGGCTGGCCCAATCGATTTTGAAATGCAAATTTCCCTCAAACATAAGCCCCTCAAAAAGGGCCTTTAATGAAAAATATAAGCCCCGCGGCTAATTTTCAGAATTTTAAGGTATACTAATTAAACTTGAACTAGAGAGAATGACTTACCAGCCTCAATCAAAGCTGGGGAGGGTCTAGTGTCACCAGAGTATACAACCTTCCACCCATGTTGGTGCTTTAGTACCAGCCCATAGGATTCAGGACAGTGATCTACAGGAACTGTCAAAACCTAATAAGATCATGATCAAAAATTACTATTTATTTGTTCCAATCTTTTTCTTTGCTTCAGTGGGCTCATACTTGGAAATTCTGCTATTTGACCAGTCTAGCTAGCTAAAGATCTTGACTCTTATATATCCATATTATACACTGTTTACAGGAAGCCATTACGGCACCTGAAGGAGAATCATGAGGTTATCGCTACAGCAGTTCAACTGCTGCTATTTTTAAAACTTACCTCTTCTGCTTGAAGATGACCAAGGACATTCAAGTGATCTCCATCTCTGTGTACAACCAAATCACTACTGTCCACAAACCTGTTAACAAATTAATAATAATTCAAAATTATTCATGACAAAAAGAGTCCAGCAAGGCTTAATTTAGGGCTCAGTTATTACAAAGAACTGTCTTTCTCTCCCAGAGTTGTATTAAATAATTAAACTTGTCTGTGATCTTACTTTGATTGACGAACACTTTAATCCTAGAGTCAATTATATATGTCTGGAGAAATCTTGAAGGGCCTGTTTACACGGAGGTGGGGGACCCCAGATAGGTGAGGCAATATGTGGCGGGTCACCCCACCTACAATGTAAACGTGATCAAATTGAAATGAGAGATTATATGGACAAGCTGGTTACCTAACCTAGCTGGGGTCCCTCACCTTCATGTAAACAGGACCTAACACAGATCTACAATCACCGACAAAATTAGTAGAGACACTACCTTAAAGGCCCTTTTTAACATTTTGCCAACTTCAAATTAAAGTGGAAATTGATCCCTCCCCCACCCCATCCAAGCAATTTTGTGCCACCGTACGAGCTACCTGTAAGAAACAACACATAACCCAAGGAGGAGAGAGGATGAGAAGTGCAGACTGTTTTGTTCTGTGAAGTACCCATTTAAGTGTCTCAACAATGTAATCACCGATTGTTTTCACCTTTAAGTCTGTGGACAAAAAGTATTAATATCTTAAACTATTATAAATTAATAATCGAATTAATCACAGGGCACTATTATTGTCTGAGTTAAGAGGGGCGATGCACTTTTACTTAAAGGGGCCATTTAATACATTAATTTTATTTTCACTGCTCTTTGCAATGAAAGGATTAAAAGGCTGTCATGATACCTGTAATTGATGTCTTCACACATTGTGTTATACTCTGTCAACCATTGTTCTATCTTATCAGGACCAATCACCAGCAGAGGATCACAACTAACCTCTTTCCCCTGGTAAAGATTGATTGAAGCAATGTAAGTGTTTTCAAAACAATGGATCTTATGGATCTTTTACCAATATACATTGTAAATAGGAAAATATGAAAGAAGGGCATTAAATTACGCGATTTGTTTACAATAGTGAAAAACACGAGATTAAAGATCCACCAAATTAAGCGCCAATAAGGTAATATTACTTGAGCAATATAAAATTTACAGATATAAAAAAATTTCTAGAAGCGTAGGGGAATATGTAAGCCAATGAACCATCTGGGAGGGGGGGGTGGGGGGGTTAGGGATATTTTCCTGCTGATTAAAACTGCATTACAATAACACAGCTGTAAATATGCACTCCTTCAACTCTTTCTGAGGCCTGGAAATAAATAACCTTTTAACTCTTCAGGCTCATTAGATGACTCTATATCACAGGAATATACTCACCAAAGTGTCTCTTTTCTGTAGGATCCGTATCAATCCCTAAATTATAAAAAAAAAATACAAGTTACCATAACAGGAAGATAAGCAATATTTCAAGCAGACATTATTTAGTAATACATATTAATTATAAGCAGGTTGAACATGATTGTCCTAGTGAGTATTGCCCTGAATTTAGGGCTGTTGGTGACGTGGCTGACATTAATGATTTAGTAAATTTTGCATCAGATCAACTTATCACATAACTCTGAATAGTCTGCCAGAAACAGTTATTTCTTGTAAGGCTGACTCCACGAGCAGAAAAGATGAAACAAATTCTGAATTCTATGAATACATCCATGTTTGTTTTATTTATTATTTTGGCTGCCCAGCAGGTAAGCATGATGGAATGTCTTGCCCACTCTGCATTACCCACTTTGCTGCAACCGGCTACTTGGCAAAATAAATACTGGTACTGACTGAATCCTGAGAATTCAAAATGGCTGTAATAAAGTGGTAACTGAACTTTGTGTCGTGCAGTTTTGGTCTGGAATCATACTTGTGATTTCAAATCGAACTCGCACAATTTTAAAATCATACATATGATTTCAGACCAAACTGCACTCCACTCAGTTCAATTACCATTATAAATAATCAAGAATTATTCTCTCATACCAAGTGATGATCTGCATGAATATGTGATATGAACACACACTTGACCTGTGAAAGAACCCGATCCACACATTTTCCATAATGCCGATATAGCTGTCCATATGTTCCTTCACCACAGTCTAATAGAATTGAACCTTGATTTCTGAGAACATGTACATAAAACCAAACAAAATTCCAACTGTTACAAAATTGGGAAGGATTGATGTTAAAATTTCCAACAGGGACCTCTTAAGGAATTGAAGAATTTTGGGTGGGGATGTGCTGTAACGACCTTTGAAACCTAATTAGCCTCTACCAGAGTTACAATTCAGCTGAATTTTGCCTGTCCTTATATATAAAATTCATTCCCTATCCTAGAGGTTCACTATTTTCCAGAAACTACTGAGGTCAATGCTTTCTTGGTTTTAAACTTGCAAGTTACAATTGCTTGTCTATTGTCAATAATTCCTAGTTTCTCTAGTCTAGACTAAAATTTTCAACCAATAATGATCAGTTTTCTGGAAAATGATACCTTCTTCAAGACCCAAACTCTCTGATTTCTAGATCCTATCCCAGACTAAACTGTTTAAAAACCCTATACCCTTTACCATAAAAATTTGCCCTTTTTTCAATATATTCCTACCTCATGTTGATCAGTGTTGAGCTAACATTTCTGTACTTAGAAGGAATAGAGGCACCAGTTCCAAGGAAAACAACTTCATAGTTTTCATGATTGGAAAAGAACTGTTGCGCTTTCCTTTCCACTGACCCTGCCAAAGACTTCACACTAACATTTCTGTACTTAGAAGGAATAGAGGCACCAGTTCCAAGGAAAACAACTTCATAGTTTTCATGATTGGAAAAGAACTGTTGCGCTTTCCTTTCCACTGACCCTGCCAAAGACTTCACTTTTGTTCCAACTGCCTCTAAGGTATCTCGTACACAGTTTTTAATTGTTTTTGTTGTTCCTAGATCAGTAATTAAGTCTTGTGATCCAGATGAACTGCTTGTCGAAATAGACCTCACTAAACCAAGTGAGGTGGCTAGTTCTGTTCTGTCATAATGTCTTAGTTGAAAGCTTGGAAGAGTTATTGTGTTTAAACTGCCAGCCAAGAGAGTTTGAGTTTCTTGTAAAGTAGAGTCAATGTTCAATTTTCGTGGTATGTTTGTTTTATCAAACCCTTGCTGTTTTAGTGGTCGTAGATGAAACTGCAAGAAAGTTTCCCCAGAAACACAATTCTTTGGTAAAGCTGTGACATCCTGTGGAAAACAGTAACAATCATATTTTACGTAAAAACTTTTTTTAAAGAGTTTGTTAGAAAAGAGTGTTATCACGAAGTCAGAAGTCTGTTTTGAAATCAAGATTACTCCACTCATAAACTCTTTTTTTTGACAGGGACACTTTGTAATAATCATGACAAAAGCATAGTTCAATGATTATTTCTGAAGCATATTAAATTAATCAGCATAAGAAAATACAGAGGAGTACTAAGTGATTATACACTTTTTAGAAACCAAGCTGTCAAATTTCCACACCCATTGAGTGCATGAGTATTGGATTGGGGGCTTAGACTTTTGCATTTACAATACCATGAACGAGAAAGAAACATACTTTGTAATAGATCATTTTCACATGACACCACAGAGGCTAAATTGGTGTACCAAAACAACGAATTAATGTTTTTAATTTTTTAATTATTAATATCATTATTAACTTAGTTTTCAATTGGTTCTTGTCGGGACAGCTTTACTGTTTTCACTGTCAGCACTATAATATAGTGCTGATGACATTAAAAAAAACTATTAAAAAAAGACTTCAGAGCATCTCTTTTCTAAGGCAAATTTTAAAGGAGCAACCATATAACTTATATCATTAAGACTTAATAAATCCATGACTACTCACAGGGATATTATTGGTTTTCAGTAAAGGAAAAATCTCTGGATCAATGCAATGTAGCTTGCACTGAACTGTTGCTTGAGACTGAAAGATCAAGGGTGTTGCACACACGTCTTTGTTAATCAACAAATGTGACACCGTATCTCCAAACCTGGAAAACAAATAGAGATCTTCTTAGCTGGTTTATATATACACAAGCAGATGAATCAAAATCACAGGGTAGCCACTTCTTATCACACTAGTAGTGCTGTAAGGGGTTTAAATTTTGGCAAGAGGGTGAAACGTAATTATGCAAACTTAAATGATCAATTTAATCTCAAACTGGAGGCCAAAACTTGAAGCATATGACCTTCAAAACGTTTTCCTATGTGAAACAACAAAGGTCCACTGAGACAACAACCCCCCTATCAACTCCCAAGAGTAAATAAATACATACAATAAGCACAGAATAAAAATTTGCAAAAAGAAAGAATAGAGATCTTTTGACCAATAAACATTTACTGTTCTGTGGTACTCAAGTCCCTGATTGACTTGGAAATAGGAACCCTGGTTTGTTGAGGGGGAAGGGGGGGAGGGGTACAAAAGAACCTAGATACAAAACTCAGTGTATGACCAACAGCCAACGAAAAACTCAACTCAAATAATAAAATGAACATTCAGCCTGAGAATCTAATCCACACCACACTTTCTGAGGTGAGGGATGAGTGCCAGCTTGTTGACTAAAAACATCTTATTAAAAAAGTAAACCCTTTTAACAAGCCCCAAGATCCACATACAAATTCTCCACACTGATCTGCATACATTTCTTTTAAGAATAGTTGAGAGAATCTGGTTTAAGATCAAAGCATTCTCCCTTTGATAATCAATTTAGTAATTCTCATAACCTTTTCTCTTGATGATCTGCTGGTGTTGTTAGGAGAAAATTGATGTTGGTCACTCTTGGGACCAAAAGGGTTAACTTGCCTCTCTCTCCACTGCTTGTACTCTTCATTCTCAAAAACTATCATTGGTGTCAAGTGCACAATCACAACAGGCATAACATGTGAGTTTTCCTCCCAGTGCTGGTTTAGCTGTTTGTTGGTCACCAGAGATGGAATGTAATCTACTGTGGGACATTCAATAATCATAAACAATGGTCCTGGTTGGTTTGCTTCCATCACTTCCTCTGGTTGGATCTGGAAAGTATTGTACCAAGCAAAATATATGTTCAATCATAACATAACACTGAACTTTCTTTGAATCAGATACCGACATGCTTTGAGAAGTTTAAGTTTATGAACAAGTAAAATTTAGTATCCTTAAACATGGCTGTTTTCCAATGGAGACAGGTGGCGCATGGTGAAGTTCTTTTGCCTTGTGGCGAGAAGGGAAACTTAGTTTTGAACAAATCATAGGTATTTGGCACCCTTGATTTCATAGGTTCAGAGAGCGTGGTTCCCGACAACTTTTCTAAGAGTTGTTTAAAAATGTGAATTTAAGTACAGGACAACAGTTTTCAAGTATGGTGGCTTCCTTTCTTTAATTTTTACAACACTCATTCTCAAGGCAGTTAGCAGACTTACATGGTCCTGCTTACTAGCAATTTACTAAACCCACCTGACGTCCATCTTGTAACATGACAGTTTTTCCCGATTGTAACTCTCCAAACAATGGACCTTTTGGCACACCAAGCTCAATAGCTTTCTTAGGAAAAAACTTCCCTGGTAGTGGGGCAAGTTGACAGATGTATGAAATAGCAGTGGACACCTTAAAATCAGACTTCAACTTCTTTGGTGATGGCAGGTTGTCTTCCCCATGTGAGGAAGAGGATGAGTCATGCAATGATTTGGAGCTTTGCTCAGCCTCATGATCATGGCTACTTGAGAGTTGATGTGAATCTAGTAAACAATATTAATGTGAGAGTTTTCACACAAGACCATACCTGGTTTAGTGAGACTTAGCCATGTTAAGAGTTCAAGAAAGAGCTAGGTGGAAAATATGCAAAAAGTATTGATTATCCCTTATCCTAGAAGGTACTTTGCCCATGAGCTCTTAATGCATGAGATAATAGCAGAAATACAGCAGTAATCTTGTGAATATCTAATAATACTAGACTGATGCCAGCCTCATCCCTAGCTGTTCTCTGCTGCCCTCTAGTGCAAAGTATGGAAAGGAGCTGGTGAGTCTCCCCTGGTGATGTCAAAGCTCATGGTAGAGTCCAGGTTTAAGTGAGCCAAGAACACCTAGGGACTAGGCTGGACTGATGTAAATTAGCAAATAAAAATATTGATTTTGTTATATCAGTTAGGTGACATTTATGACCTTAGCGCTTGAGGTGATGGGGTGCTCCCCAATAACAGGTTGCATACCACACCCAAGGATCCCCAGCCACCCCCCTTATCTAAGTGCCTTACCAATGCCTTACCAGATTGGAATGCCCTCCCTGTGGAGATAAGAAACCCATCCTATAATGCTTTTAGAATATTATTACTTATAAGAACAGATTTAAATCTCAGTAGTAGCTTAGAAGGTTTTTCGATTTCAGTCTTCTTGGTTGTGACATTTTTCTTTGTTCAATTTCAATTGATATTTTAATGTTAGGTTTTTGGTATTTTCTGCATTTTAGCAATTTCATTTTTTCATGTACAGTGTCCCATTTAAAACCACCTGGAGTGACATAAGCCATCTGTATAAAGAACTTTCTTATTCTGATTCTTATCATTTAAAAGCTGCTTAATCTTAAAATGGATGTCAAAATGGATTAGTTTGAACTTGAATCCTTCAATTTAATACTGTATCTTAAGGGACAGGTTGATCATACCTACCATTTATGATAACAGGCCATATTGTCAAATTTTCATCTTTGTATTCCTCCCCATCACTTCCAGTAAATCCCACACAATCAAACTTCAAGCTTTCATGATACAAAAAGAATCTTGTGGCATGGATGAAATCAGATAGGTTGCTAGGTCCAAGTAGCTTGATTTCTGATTTTCCATTGTCCCTTAAAGTCATTGCCATACCAGGCAATCCTCCAACATACTCCCAGCATATCCGTGTTAAGAAGATGTTGTTTAGTTTTGAAAGTTTTAACTTCTGTTCATTAAATATCCTCTGTGTCCCCNTTGAACTTGAATCCTTCAATTTAATACTGTATCTTAAGGGACAGGTTGATCATACCTACCATTTATGATAACAGGCCATATTGTCAAATTTTCATCTTTGTATTCCTCCCCATCACTTCCAGTAAATCCCACACAATCAAACTTCAAGCTTTCATGATACAAAAAGAATCTTGTGGCATGGATGAAATCAGATAGGTTGCTAGGTCCAAGTAGCTTGATTTCTGATTTTCCATTGTCCCTTAAAGTCATTGCCATACCAGGCAATCCTCCAACATACTCCCAGCATATCCGTGTTAAGAAGATGTTGTTTAGTTTTGAAAGTTTTAACTTCTGTTCATTAAATATCCTCTGTGTCCCCTCTCCACAGTTAAAAAGGTATCTGATGATAACAAAGATTTTTTTGTGAGAAATTGAATGTTGACAATGATGGTTTTGGATAAAACAACGTTCGATTACTGTTTTTTGTTCTTACTAGTAGATCCTGTATACCTGCCAAATTTCAAACAGTCACACAAAATGCGTGAAATTTTTGCCTTGTCATGGACTGGATTTCCGAAAATGTCCCAGCAACTTCCGAAGATTTCTGATGACTTTCTGAAAGCTTCCGAATGTTGCCAAAAATGCCCAAAGATGTTCTGACGAACTTTGACCACTTCGAAGCCATATAAAAGACAACAATTTAAGTGTGTTTTGATTTCGTTGGGACACCAAGTCATCATTCAATGCCTTATTGGAACATTTGCGGGGAAGTTGAATTGAATTTTTCTTATCAATCATGTGTTAAAAAGCAATTTGTTCAGATTTGTGAGTCAGGTGTGAGAAATTGTCCTTGATGGGTGAGACCGATGTCTTTAGTCTGTGAGCGTGAGACTCACGCATAATGTGTGAGAGTTGGCAGGTATAATCCTGCAAAGGGTAAGCCTGTGTACAGACGCCCCCTCCCCTCCCTTAACCGATTGTTTTACTGAGGGGAGGGGGAGTCTGTACACAGGCTCGCAGAGTGTCAGTGAGACCAATATAAATAACATTACCTGATTTAAGATTATTTTATATTCTTCAAATTTCTACAAAGTTTAAGACTATTGTGGTAGTTGCAGTTTTTTAATAACAGATAAACTGTTGTACCTCTGTGAATCTGCGAAGATGAAAAGCGAAGGAGAAGTGTCCTCAGTTTGGGCTCCAAGAACTTGAAGGTAGACTCTAGGAGACGCTTTAGTACTAGAGGTGGCAGCCATAAATTTCAGAAATCTTTGTTTTTGAATGCTCATGAGTCTGAATAATAACCTCATTCACAATTTTACGAGTTTTTCCATGTAAGTGCCGGTGAAAAGACGTTGAAATCTCACATCCCCACCAGTGAGTCCGCCATGTTGGAGTTGGATGCATGATTGATTTTTATATGAAGTACATACTGATAGCAAGGAAAGCCTGCTGACTAGTTTCCAGTATCGCTCTTCAATATGGCCGATGATGCTGCCTTCCATTTCCAAGTATGAGGCTTTTAGCGGGTTTGTTTGGTAGAAAAAACTCCCAAACCTCAGGGAATGACGTTTTGCGTGAACTCCATAGACTGACAAAATATCAGCTTCGCTGGCATTGGTGTGGCAGACATGGGGGAAGAGGAAAACTCGTGTCAACAAGAACGTATCTTCAGATTCTGGGAACAAGCACAGATTATAGTTCACCTAGCGTTCTACTATTCACTGATTCTTATAGGTGACTTTCCTTTTTATTTATTTATTTATTTATTTTTTGGGAGCAACTTCAAAATACCTCCCTTTTTGGTCATTTGCATGCTTTCAAGAGAACCATCCATCTTGAAAGTATCAGTTCATTTCTCCATGCCCCTGCAATCCCCCACACTCCTTCAATACCTCAGCTAAGTTGTTCTTGTTATTTTAGCGGCATAAAACTGTTAAGAGGCATAAGAAAATGCCCTTCTGATTGTTCTCTTTGCGCAAAATCTTTGGACATTTTTTAATCAGTTCAAAGAACATGTTCAAATTAGTGATAGTTCATGTTTGTAAACAGTTTTTGTCATTCAAATGCTCAATCAATGGAACAAAGGAACATTTTGTTTAAAGAGCAAATAAGCTGTGGGCACATTTTATATGACAACAGGTGATATAATGCTAACTGCCACTGTAACATGGGCAGAGGGCAAAAAATAACTATTTAGATTTTGGTTTGACTGAAAGAAAGGATGGCTACAATTAGCAAATTATCATATGAAGTTTATAATAAATGACCAACAGTGGTTCCATTTCTAAAATCTCCAATAACTTTGACAGGAGCCTTTCTTTTCTTTAGGTATTTATTTAACTGTGGAGAAAACACTGTAAGAATACTTCATGAACTAAATCGACTGAAAATGAACGTCACTCGAGTCTTCTTGACTGGAATGACTTGGCAAAACCACATAGCTGGTCTTCCTACATTGATCAAATGCCATGGATCATTAAAAGGAACAGGATTAAATGTGTATGGTCCCCAGGGACTCACTAAGTTCCTCCGAGATGTTACAACTTTCTCAAGCACTGGCCTGCAAAGACTACAATCCCTGGAGCTTTTTAGTAGCTTAGAATTTATTGGTAATTCTGATCAAGGCCAGCTTGAGCCATATGTCGATGACAATGTTACCATCAGACCTGTTGTTCTTGAAAGGAAGGATAAAGATACTTGCCATTCTGAGAGGCAGTCAGTTTGCTACATTTGTGAATTTGAAGACCTTCCTGGACACTTTATTCGTGAGAAGGCAGAAAAGTTGGGTGTGACACCGGAATGGTTTAATGAACTAGCTATTGGACATCCAGTCGTAACATCTCAAGGAAGAAAGGTATTATGGTCTACAGTCAATGTGCTACTACTACTGCTCGGGGGAGGGGGGGTGCGGGGGGAGCTGTGATAGTAGCACATTGCTACTACTACTAGCACTAGCGGTAGCACACTGCTACTACTTATAGTCCTAAAGTATCCCACCCCCAGAGGGGTATTTAAGGAATTTTTGGGTGGGGATGTGCCACTGGGACCTCAGAACCCTTAGGCTAGACCAGACCTAGTTCAGCAGAATTTTGCTACCCCATACTAGACTCAGCTCCCAATATCCCTCCCTATCCTAGAGTCAATTGCCAATTTCTTTTCCCAGTTTCCCTTGTCCAGAGTAATATCTTCAACCAATTGAACAGTTTCCTGAAAAATGATACCCTATTCTGCACCCAAACTCCCTGATTTCTTTACCCTTTCTCAGTGGCACATACGTATATAGTCCCCTGGTAAAACCCCTCCCCCCAGGCAGCTACCGCTATTACTACCACTATTAATAATAATAATGATAGTAATAATAATAATAATAATAATAATAATAATAATAATAATAATATGTCATAAAACCTATATGGAAAGCCTCAGTAAAAAATATGTTCATAAAAAGTGAAATATATTAACTAAACTAACGTAAATTTTCATACAAATTTGAAGAATTCAATAAAATGATATTTAATAACAATATTAATGGTTTAACGATAGCATTTCGACAATGTAGCTCTTCATCTTTACTGTCTTGAGTAAAAATGAATAGTATTAATATATAATATTAATATTAATGATTAAAATAGACTAGGTAGCTCTTTATAATAGGTTAAACAATTTCAGATGCATATTAACCAACATACACAATAACATGCAATTTGGTCAGCAAGTGTAGTCTGCACAACTCGGAGTTGTATGATTTTCTATGGTTCCTTTGCTTCGTAGGGAGCTTTTTTTAGCATTAAGTCTTTTAATGGGTTTTCTATTTTTACGTTAGGTTGAACCGTTTGAGGTCCTGTCCCCTACCACACCAGGACAAGTTTTTATGATTGTGGACTGCCCATCAGTGGAAATCAGGAATGAATTGGTACAAAATCAAGAGTTTTCTCAATTTCACTGCAGTGCGGACTTGAAGACACCACATGTTATTGTGCACATGACCCCACTAGAAATCTTTGGGTCTGAGTCTTACAAATTATGGAAGGATCAGTTCGGTAAGACTGCTGTACATATTCTAGCTAACAAAGAGGTTGTAAAGCAAGAGACTCCATTCTTAAAAAGTGTCGCATTCCATACTGCTCTCTCTGTTGTGGATAATGAAATTTTTCCACCCATATTGGAAAGTCCTGCAGAGAGAAAACACATCAGTTTACCAGACAATTGTACCTCGGCAGAAAATTTGTTGACTTATCAATTTCGTCCGCTAAAATTGGAGGGATTAACTAGAAGGAACTTACGTGTGGGATATGGTCTCAGTGACATGTTAAAAAGGTTACATAAGGCTTCAGAAAAATTAGATGATGAGACTCTTGCTACTGTTGGCACTTCAACTGTAACCTCTGGAGAAGAAAACTTGCAAACAATGTCTGACAGCAAAGTTACGTTTCTTGGAACTGGTTATGCACTTCCGTCCTACTGCCGTGGCCAAAGTGCAGTACTTGTTCATACAAGGTATTTTAAAATCTGATTAAGATGTAATAATATTACAGGCTGTAATGGCCAACAAGAAGGTAGCTCTGATATAAAGAGTCATCTTTGGTTAGTCCTTGCAACCAGACTACAACCCTTGAAGATTTTTTTCAGCTACTATGAAGGTGACAGGAGTTTCATTAAAGAAGGCAAGGAACAGAGAACCACATGCGATCCATAGTTGTTTGATTCCCCACCTACTCGTTGTATTTACCTGGAAACTTGAAATCTAGCGGACCACCTTGTTAAACTTGCATTCTAAGAAAAGCAGGCACTCAATCTGGTGGTAGGGGGCGGGGGTAGTTGTGTTAATGGGAAAGTGAAACACATAAATTAAGTAAAAGACTTGAAAGGCTGACATTTCCAGTACTATTCCCTTGTCATGGGAAGCTCTCTAAGGGGCTAGCACTCAAAATATTAGCATTTGGATGTTTTTATGGGTGGCAAACTTACTTTGTCCACTCAGTTAATAAAACTTAATTCTTGTATCATTGGGCAGTAGTATCAAGCTGTCAAGCTGTTAGCCTCAGGTCCATTGAAGCTAATAGAAGTGTTGCTTAACCCTTCCCTAGAAGGAAAGCCTATTCATCACAGGTCGGATTACTCCACAATGGTTATAGTACAGTTCTTTGTCAGGTAACAAAGCATATTAACAACTTCAAAACAACAATTTGCAGAACCCAAGGCCAATGTTCCTCAACTAGACTCAAGAGTGAGCCAAGAAACCTCAGGAGGGGGTCCTAAGAGGGGGGGGGGGGCAGTATACTCTTCATTCACAATATTATTTTGAGCACTGGTAATGCAATAGTGAACGTGCTGTTACTCTTTTATTTTTTTTGACAGGGAAGACAGATCAATTCTTTTGGACTGCGGAGAAGGGACATTTTCTCAACTTCGTTGTTTGTATAAGGAACAGACAGCGGATGCTTTGGCTTCCCTTAAATGCGTGTTTATATCACACAGGCATCCTGACCATCATATGGTGAATTGATTTTTTTTTTAATTCCACTTTTTTTAGCTTTTACAATTTATATACCATCCTTCAGAAAAGTTTTTTCAGCGGCTTCAGTATAAAATCTGCATTGTTGTAATATTAAATCGAATGTAAGGACAACCAGGTAAGAAAGGAAAATATAGCCTCAATAATCTTCAAATTATGTTGAAACACTAGACAAAAGCTCAAGATTCTTAGCGCCAGTTATTTAAATGGAGATTAGCCCTTGTTTATTCTGATCTTAATTCATCATTGACAGGGACTGATGCGATTACTTCTTGAATATGAAAAACTATTTGATGAAAGAAAGGTAAATACTGTTTGTAGCTGAATCTGCCAATGACAAGGGCTATTGATTTCATTTCCTACTTTATCAAGAGCTCAAACAACAGTGCTGCCCTTCCCAATTTCACTTTTCTCCTTTACTCTCTTCAACTCTTTCACTGCCAGTCCTATTGCTTTTTTGAGGGCATCCACGTAAGTCCAGGGGCAGATCAAGGAATTTTTTTTTTTTTGGGGGGGGGGGAGCTTCCAAAATTTACGGTCTTTAATTTGCTCAAAAACTTTCCTATTTGGAAGGGTAAAAATCGTACCTCCACAACTCAAAAGCCTTGCAATACCTAAAAAAAGAATAAAGGGGTGTGGTTTGTTTTAAATTAATCCGAACCTAANTTTGATTCCATAGCAGTCTCCTTTATATGTTTTAATAATGTATTATCATTAAGTTACTGCATAGATTTTACTGTTCTGTTATTGTTATTATTATTATTATTATCATTATTATTATTACTATTATTATTTTATTACTTGTTTTTAATACAGCTCAATTTTATTACAATTGTGGGCCCATGGAGATTACATCAATGGCTAAAAGAGCACTTTAAGTCAATTGGGCGAAACCTTCCTATCAGGTAAAAAAAAGTTTGTTAAAATATCCTCCTTGCCTTTTATACTTAGGAAGTAAACATGCATGAACTAAAAAAAGCACAGTGAGCAGTCATGTTTATTCAGTTTCTTTTCTGTGAGCACAGATTTCTTCCTTTTGGAGAAGTAAAGACACATAAGGTTAACAACCAAATTCAGGAAGTTCTGGATGCACTGGAACTAAGCGGAGTAAGTCCTAATATCAAAGGCAAACTGTTTACAATGTCAGTGGCTGGTCTAGGGGAGGGGTCTGGGCCAGGTGGCATAAAACCTTCTTAAGATAAGAGAGCTCGTAACTTTTGTTCTGGAAAAATAACCTATTGTTTTGAAATAATAGTTACGAGTTCCCTTAATTTTAAGATCTTTTTGCAACCCGACCCTGGGCCCCACCTTATTAGGGAGCTTAAGCAACAACTACGCCAACGGCAGCGAAAACGTCACTTAAAAAGTGAATTCGCGCTGCTTCAAACTTCATCCCTCTTATTCTATTTCATTTAATTTGTCAAGCGTTGGGGAATTTTTCTGGAGTTGATTCTAAAGGACTGTATATCTAAGTTCAGGAAAAATAAAAGAAAACTATTGTCTTGTGTTCTCGTCCTGCATAAAACGTGAAGTTAGGCAGTTTCGCGTCGTAGTCGTACAACGACGGCATAGAAATGTGCAAAAAAAAGTTATACACGTACAAAGTTTTTGTTTTGCTGATCTAAACCTATTACTTTTCGGCCGTTCTCGTGGCCATCGCTGTCGTCGTGCTTAAGCTCCCTATTTTTAGTTCAAACTGAAGCCCGCAGGTCTGAGAAAAATTAAGGTCTGGATGAGCAGGTCCTCCATGTACTCAAAGATCTGAATCTGCCCATGAAGATAAGGATACACATTCGCCTTTCTTAAAGCAGACCTTTGTGTTTAAGGCCCAAAAGGTGTCAGAGCAAACATAACCCATGTATAATTTTCTTTTACTTCCTTTCTTATTGCGTAATATTTAATAGGACACGACTCTTTGTAGACGTTCCTTTCAAGCCAAACATCAGTGTGTTAATAATCATTAGGAATCAGATAGTTTGATGGGTTTTTTTTCTCTAGGCCCACGACAGGTGCACAGCGCACCACACAAACAAAAAAAGATGGCTAGCCTGTGAGTTAACGCATATTTCTTTCGTGCTAATTGCCCCTTTTAAACTGTGTTTACTATATTGCTTTAGCTTCAAGTTGTTCCAGTACTTCACACTAGAGATAGCCATGGAATCATTTTGAATCATCCATCTGGATGGAAGCTTGTGTATTCAGGAGATTGTGTACCTTCGCATAACCTGATCAAGGAAGGTGAGCAAGCATCATCGCTACATCTGCGGTTTCTTCACACTGACCTCTGATGAGGCTAGAACAGCAGTTTTCATTTCGAAATATGCCCAAATATTCAGTGTTTTTGAGCGCAGGTTTGGGTCGCTATTCATCATCGTTGAACATGCATTTCTAGGGAAAAACTAGCGAGAATTTCCCGCCAAATGTAACCGTTCACAATAAACATATTGAATAGCAAAACAATGTTTTTGCACGTGCGTTTTAATTTTTTTGAAATCTTTCTGCTATTCCCTGCAAAACAATAACTTCAAATGATTAAATTCAAGCGGGTTTTACAGAGAAAGTGAAGACGCGACGCTTAATTTTGTCTTTCCACTGTAAACTTGGAATGGCCCATCCACTTCGAAGCGGTTTTCCTCACAAATGGTAAGCGCCCCAAAGATCCGTATTAGCATCTTTTGTTCGGAGCACGAGCTGCACGTGCTGTTTTTTAGTGTTTGCATACAGTGAATATTGGTCGACCACGCAGCTGTGCCAACGTCAGCTAAAAACATTGACGTGTAGTTTCTGACATCGTTTTGTTCAGAAGCCTACGTCCAAATTGTTTGAGAATTGAGCTGCAAGGATTCCTTAACTTCAGAGAAAGCTAGTTATAGTTCCGCCCGTCTACGTATACTGTGAATTCCGTTGTGCCATCAGGATATAAAAAGGAGGTATTTTTTGAAGTGGCCTACTGCTTCGCTATCTTTAGGGCTAACACTTCGGTCGTTTTTTCTTAAATTTCTCAACACTACTATTTTAAGCAACAGAAGGAAAGTCTTTCGATAATTCTATGGCTTTGTAACTTTACTCAGTTCTGCATACTTTGCTTTATTATTTAACTTTAGGTTTGAATTTCAGGTAAAAATGCAACGCTGTTGATCCACGAGGCAACTTATTTTGAGATTCCTAAGGATGAGCCAGTCAGAGGGAGACACTGGTAAGATAGTTTTAGTAGTACTTTGACGGCAGAGATAGACTCTTTGAGTGAAACATTTCATTGTAACATTTTGTTTTCTTACCTAGCACCCTTTCAGAAGCGATCAAAGTGAGTCGAGATATGCATGCCAGCTACACCATTCTTACACACTTCTCAAAGCACTGGAAAAATTACTGGCCTCAAGAATGTGGCAATCTAAGGCTGGGACCCGGAATAAGTACGGCTTTTGACTTCATGACGGTACGTGTTATAAGAATAGGAATTAGGACGTCCTAATTTGGCGAACGTTACTGATTCAGTGTTCATATATCCCAATCACGCCAGCAGGGAGGGCTAAACAGTGAGTTACTCTCCGCTTGCAACTGAAATTTGCTGAAATATTATGGTGATTTGTAATGACCATGTTTTCGTGCGCTTGGTACTAGAGAGCTTACGCAACGACGACGGCGATGCCAACGAGGACGGCAAAAAGGCAATAGGTTGAAGACCTGGTGCCGTCTACACGAGACGATTCGCAACGACGATTTTTAGAACAACACAGCGCTGCAATGGTGGAACAATGTTGTAACCACTCGAAACAATGTCGCAACAATGTTGCAACACTGTGTTGCGCTAAAAATCGTCGTTGCGAATCGTCTCGTGTAACGTCACCTTTATGGAGGACGGGAGCACAAGAAAACGATTTTCTTTTTCTTTGTTGAAGTTAGATATAGTCCTTTAGAATTCAACTCCTGAAAAAATCGCCAACCTATGACAAACTAGAAGAGTTGGAATAAGAGCGATGAAATTTGAAACAGCGCGAATCGTCGCGCGAATCCTATTTTTGGGTGTAGTTTTTGCTGCCGTTGTCGTCGTCGTTGGTTAAGGTTCCTACTGTTTTCTTTCTCCCGCGTTGGTATGATCGCCTACAATGGTTTTCCACCACTGGCGCCAGTCATAATACGGGAAGCTAATACTGATGCTCTTGCGGCGTTTTCCGAGACCTTCGAGGTCAATGTATTTCGATGATGTATCCAAGACTAACCGGGCGAACCAGGAAGACAGGGACTTCCTGATAGGCCGCACGAACCAGGGACTAGGCAATGGTGACCTACACATCTCATTGTCTTGGCACAATTTAGTCCGTTTATCGCACCTGTCATGTAGGGATTATTTCTGTTTTTACCACAGGTTCGGTTTAGTGACCTTCCAAGACTGCACAAACTGAGGCCCGCCATTGCAAAAGTGTTTGAAAAAGAGACTTCTGACGAGAAAGGAGAAACAAGACCGGTACGAGCATTGA